GGTCCCTGTGCTTTGCCAAGCCCTTTCTAAGTAGGTGCTTTAGACCACTGAGCCATCTCACCAGCCCAGGCATTACCTCTGATGAGGACATTTTTATAGCTGAGAAGGTTCGTGTTATACATTTTTTATAGATATCCTTGCAGGACTGATTAACTGTGCCATAAATATCAGGACTGTCCTAGATGAGTTCATCTCCCTAAACAGCCCCGCCAGTAATGCAAGTGGTTATCAAGCTCTGTCAATTAGTTTAATAATAGCTTCCAAATCTACTCCTCCTCTCCCACCCACTCTAATCATCTCCAAGGAAACTGATAGGCATGTTCTATGGTGTGGATGGAGCCTGGAACTCCAGACACTATAATCACTATGGGTGGGTTTAAGCTAAGATGCACTGAACTCCCCTGACTCCTCATCCCTCCCTCTCTGTGCCCTGGCCTACCAGCTAGTGATGTAAGTTATGAAGACATGGTGCATAACACCAAAGAATGTAACAGTGCCATAGTAGTAAAAGAAATGACCCATACAAACACTGGAACTAGGTATATGACAAGATTGGCTTCACCAATCACAGGGAAAAATGTAAGTCAGTGTATTAGTTACTCTTCTCTCGTTGCTGCAACAAATACCCGACACTCAAAATGAGGGAAGAAAAGGTTTATTTAGCTCACAGTTACTGGAGGTTTCAAGACACTGGAGGAGAGGCTGGGGTGCTGCTGCGTCCAGGATGACCCTGTCCATACCTCTGAGAAAGCACAGGCTAGCCAGTTTAATGGTTCACGCCTCTCTGGTCCCACCCCTCAAACCACTCTTTGCTCCTCCCGCTGTGCCTCTGCCCCATAACTGACACGAGGCTTTGGAGGGACAACTAGACACAAACCATAACAGTCAGTTAATGCAGTTAGGGCAACTAGCTAACACATGGGAGAATGGGATCACTCTGCTGCACCTGTTAAACAAAATTCACGGGAGGCCAACCATTGTTTTTGGATTAAGCTTCTGTACTAAGGCCCGCAGAACAGAACCAACCAGAATGGAGTCACTGTTACTAGGAGCCAGGTAGTCAAAGAGAACTTTGTAAACAAACAATTTTACAAAAAATAGGAGATTCATAGCAGCCAATCAGAAGGGACCCAGCTTACCGACCTGTCATAATGAGTGTTACGGTTTAGATCTAGAATGGTCTCTAAAAGCACATGTACAGAAGAAGGCTTAGTCTTCCACTGGTGGTGCTGATGGGAAATGGTGGGAACTTCAAGAGGTGTGGCCTAGTGGAAGACAGTAGGTCACTGAGAATGTATCTTTGAAGGGTCCATTTTGGTTCCTATCTGGAGACTAGTCATTTCTCTGTCTGTCTGTCTGTCTGTCTGTCTGTCTGTCTGTCTGTCTATCTATCTGTCTGTCAGTCAGTTTCTCCCTCCCCCCCCACGCTCTCTCCCCCTCCTCCCCTCAACTTCCTGACCTCCATGAGGTGAGCTGTCTGTTCCACCACAGTGACATTCTGCCTCATCATAGGCCCAGAAGCAATTGAGCCACTTGAGTGTGAACTGAAACTTCAGAAATTAGGAGTCAAAATAAAGCTTTCTTCCTAAGCCGATTTTCTCAGATATTTTGTTACAGCAACTAAATATTGACAACAGTAAAAAAGTGCCTGATGTTTTAACCCTATAAGAAAAATGACTTTGAAAAGATCAGTTTACTTTTGGTTATTTCTGCTTTCTTTGGCCCTTTTCTCCCTATAAAGTTAACTCTCTCACCTCACCTGATCAGGACATCCATTCTATTTTAAGAATAAATGTCTGATTCTACAGTTGCTATTAAAAGCCAATTAGATTGAAACTGTACATCCGATTTGATTTGAAACTGTCTCATTGCTGTTTATCAATAAAATATTGAAAAAATAAAAAAATAAAAGCCAATTAGACATTTTAAGTGATTTTTTTTGTTTTAATCCACTACACATGAAAATATTTTTCCCAAAATTAAAGACCTAAATGTGAAAAATAAACCTCTAAGACTATTATAAAAAGTGTGGGAGTTAGAGCCCTTGTCTAGCATGTGCAAGGCCCTGGGTTCAATCTGCAGCACACTCCCCCCTCCACACACACAGTGAGAGAATATTAAACATCAGAGCAGGAAAGGGAAAATAAAGTTTCTTTCTCACAACTAGGAGAGGCCTCTGCAGGGCTCTGCTCAGAGTCACGTGGAGATATAGGAGGCTGGAGGCTCCATCACTGAATTTTCTTTCATAGCTACCAAGGCAGGAAAAGGAAAGTGTGATTGGACCCTTGGATCCTAACTGACATAAGTGGCATCACTACTTTTGCTTATATTTCCTTCATCAAAGCAAATCACCTAACTATAGTCAACTTTTAAATGGGCTTCCCAGGCAGGGGAGATGGCTCAGTAGAATAAGCACTTCCCCAGCAAATGCAAGCATCTGAGTTCAATCCCTGGTTCCGGGGTGAGGGGTGGGGAAGAGGGCTTCCCAGGTACCTGAAAGGAAAGAGAAGAGTTTGTAATAAAAGCCATCATTTGGAGAAATATTTCTTAAGACTGAAAAGTGACAGCCACAAGGAAAATCATAAGTAAATTTGACATAGTAACAACAATACAAATAACTAAAATTTATTGGTGCTTACTGTGTATTAGACACTGGTTTGAAGCACTTTCCACATTTACTGTAATTTTTCACAGTAACCTCATGAGGTAAATTCTGTTATTCCCAAATTTCACAATTGAGGCACTGAGAGGTTATGTTACTATCAGCAAATAAAATAGAGCTACTAACAAAGGAAGGGAAGGTCAGGACTTTTTAAGTGTTAGGAGAGGCTATGCTAATTAAACTGTAAAAAGGAGCATTCCAAATTGGGTGGATTGGGTTCACAAGCCTGCACATAATTAGCTAAAAGAAATCCTATTGTTCTTCAGTAAGGAAAGAGTCTCTAGTTACTATTTGGTACAAGGGGTCATTAAAAGTTCATGATTATTTATCAACTTCAGCAGGAAATGAACAGTTGTGACGAAATAAAGTGTCCAACTGGGGCATGCCTGATTTAGGCCATTGCTTCTGTAAGTTAAAAAATTTTCCTTTTACACAGTGAATAAATTAAGTCAGAATCAAGCATTTAAACTTGTGATTGGCAAAAGACACCACAAATACAATACGGCCTGATTACACCAAAACAAACAAAACAAATACAATACAGAAGCAGATGAGCAAAAGATCTTTGCAAGATTTATAACACAAAGAATGTGTATAAATCAAATGTTTTTGAGACAGGGTGTTGCGATGAAGTTTACACTGGCCTTGAACTCACTGTATAGCTCAGGCTGGCCTCTAACTTGCAGCTGTCTGCCTGCCTCAGCCTCCGTGCCTGGCTCAATCTTTAAACAAATAGAAAATTTTGAAACACAAACAGGCAACTTATTGATGAAAAATAAAACATACTTTATTTACAATGCTTACATTGCAAGTTACAATAGCAATACAAACTGAAACAATGGGGATATCAAGGATTCCTTTTTTCTTTCTTTTTTTTATTTTAGGGAAGGGTCTACAGGGTGTTCAGGGTCTCACTACTAGATCAGGCTGGTAGAGATCCGCCTGTTTACAGCCTCCCAAGAGCTGAGATTCCAGGCACGCACCACCATGCCCAGTCTCAATTGCCATCTCAGTGTGCCTCAGGGGCGGGGCCGGCATGGCAGGCCCGGGAATCAAACCCCAGGCCCCTGCACCAGCTTGCAGGCACTTTATCCCCTGAGCTATTTGGCCTGCCCTGGATTTCTTATTTCACCAGTAACACTGGCCAATGAGGACATAACTGCAGGCAGTGCACCTCCCTAGCATGCAGGAGACCCAGGCTTCAGTTCCCAGCTCTGAATAAAAATTAATTGAGGCTATAGAATTTATTAATTTGTTGCTATTTAAACATGGTATCCTAGCTTTTGTTAAACCAAAATTCTTGAGAATAGAAGGATCTCTGAGATAAATAAGTCTATTGAGCCATTATAGATGCTAACTAGAAAATAAGACCAGGTTCTGGGACAAAACTGCATTGGAAAGTGGAAAGAACAACAGGATAAGTGTGTTCAAAGTAGAGGGATGTATTCTGGGAGGGGGAGTTATAGACAATACATTTTTACTGTAATTTTTTTAAAATGTGCATATTCACCATATTTTTCAATTGTACTTTGTTTCACAAGCACTGAGAATAACATCTGGTATCTTGTAGGAGCTGAGAATGTCATTACTGAATAAATAAATTGTGATAAGAAAAAAATAAATTGTGATAAGAACTCCTCTGAAATTGTCTTTCACCACCTCTTTTTCCCTTACATATTCCTAATTCTTTGTTTGAAGAAAGCCTCGCAGATCAGAGATGCTGAACCTTTTAGAGAATGAGAGCCACACTGCAACCTAAAATCCACTTGTTCGTCTCAAAACCCCAATACTGAG